GATGAAATCATTCAGTTGTTTGACGCAATGTTCCGGGAAAACACGAACATTGTAAAAGCCGAAGCACTCTTCCTCGCAAAACTTACTTTATTAATCTCAAATGAAAATGTCCATTCTTTTAAAATTAAAGATCAAATGTCTCCAAATGATAACGAAGAATACTTAGACTTCCTTACTCTTGCGTTATCATCAGACATTTTCCTTCGGAAAACATCAAAAATCGCTCCAATAAATATAAAGCACTTAAAACGCTATTTGATATTAAAGACACGTTTTTACCTTCTCAAGTGTGCCAACAACTATATTCCAGTTCAAATCTTGCAGAGGGATTGTTTTCTCATGCCAAAGGACCGATCAGATGTAAAACACCCACTTTAATGGAAGCTGTTAAGGCTTTTGTTTTATATACCCGACAACTACAATTAAAGGCAACAACTTTTTCAGAAGAACAGCTAAACGCACTCAAATTACTTGTCTCAAAGGATACGTTAAAAAATATGACTTCGAACACAGTTGATATACTTTTAGATAACTTTGATACTTTTATTTGCATGAGTAAATGTCCAGCCGGCAAAGGAAGTAATTGTATGTGTATTGTGTATCAAGAAACTGGAGTTCCTTGTAGTCATATGATTTATTTTCGAAAACAAGGTGGAGATGCATTTACTGATTCAAAGTGTCCACCAGGATATTTTAAAGATATCAGAGGTAATACAAGATTGATAGTAAAAGGCCCGTGTCGTTCACCACTGTTTTCTGAGTGTGATTTTTCTGAGACAAATTTTATTGTCCATAAAATAAAAAGTGTTCATGAAATTAAAATTGTAACAGAAAATGGTTTACTCAGTGAAGAAGATGTAAAGAAAAAATTGTTTGATTTAACCCACAGTTTGAGAAGAAAAACAATATTTAAAAAGTTGTTGGACTAGTTGAAGAAATTGATAAATTAAAAGAAGATAAAACCGGTTATATCGAAGACGATATTAAAGATCCAATGATAATCATGTGTCCTGGTAAAAAAAGAATTAAAACATCAAAAAACGTCGATGACTCGTTGTCAAATAGACGCAAAAAATACAAAAAATGTGTAAAAAACAAATTAGAAAATGAAAGTAAACCGAAAAAACTAAAAGAATTATAGTTTTATAAGTATACAACAACTAATTTTAATGGTTTTATCTTATTTTAATTTAATAAATAAACATTGCTTATAAACACGTTTTATAGAATATTAAACAATAAATTATTCAAAGTTAATTCGAAATAAAATTATATTTAACTTATATTTTACATTATTCAAAATGTTAATCTTTTCTTTGCGAATGAAACCAAAACGTTTTTCTCTTTTTAATGAGTATATATTATAGTTAATATAACCATTACATATAGTATTTTATATATTTCCTTTTTAATAGTAAACAAATTAGAAAAAATCTATCTCAATAAATTGTATACGTGTTGGGTTTGGGTTTAAATCTTATTCACCGATAAATATGCTTTGAACAAATTGATTAACGTTCTAGAAACAAGAATATTAAATCATGATGAAATAATTAAAGCTGTAAACTCAGTTTTCGGCATGATGATTTGCTCAGATTATGATATCGATATACCAGAACCTATAATTGTTATAAAAATAAAAGTATCCATTTATAAATATTAATTCTCAGCCTATGGCGTGAGTTTCTCGTCAAATAATTTACTGACATCTAAATTATTAACAGTAATATAATGTTCTAATATCGGAAGCATCTTATTAATAATTCCATCTCTCATATTATTTAGATTGTTTTCTAATTCTTCTATTTTATTAAGTAATAATACTAATTGTACTTGCTTTACGCTTTCATTTTTTTAAACTTTATTGTCAAGATCATTTTTAGTAATTCTAACTTGTTTCTTAATTAATGTTTGTTTACCTTTTATTTTACAAAATACACATCCATTTATATAAATAGTAGCATTTAAATCTTTTGTATTGTTTTAGTTAACTTCTAGATTATTATTAATATATCTATTGATTTCCTTGTTACATTATTTTGACATGTCTATTTCTTTTAAATTGTATTTGTTAGAAAAAAACAAATTTTTGAAAAATGTTTTTAATGAATTTGATTTTGATTGAGAAGTATTATCTGTACTCATTTATATTAAGATAAAAATAAAAATATATTATTTATACATGACTAAATATATTATTAATAAAGTAATATAACAGTATTATTATAATAACTATAAAAATAACATACTCAATATATGTCTTCAGATAATATGTAAAATATATTACTTTGTTTTTACAGTTTATGAAAACCTCAGAACTACAGTTCTTACGGACCATAAATATCTATTAATTTATCATCAATGTAATTTCATTAACCTAAAATATTTTTCATCTTTTCCTTTACAATAACCACGATCAATGAAACTTTGAAATTTTTGATAATTATCTTTATTATTTAAACACATTAATATTTCATAACCTTTTTGAATAACATTAGGACGAACATAATATTTTACAATTATATCTTTTATATTATTATTTCTAATAAACTGATTAAAGTATTCTTTAATTTTATTAATTCTTGTTTTAAATTTGGAAGAATCACAATCTATGTTGGCTACAACTTTACTATCTTCTTCATTATAATAAACATAATCATTTGCGTCTTCAGCCTTCGGCAAGAATACATCGCAGAAGCGGAATTTACATCCTTTGGATGTGTTGATGCTTTGCTCACTTGATTCATTAGAATAATCATGATTTTCTATAATATCTTCATCAGCCTTCTGCGTGAGTTTCTTTTCACTAGATTCACTTATATGTTCACTTTCTTTTTCACTATAATTTTCAGAATCATTTATGAATTCATCAACATCTTTATCTGTATTTAAATTAAATAACAATTTTACATGACAAAGCTCGATTTATTTTCTAAACGTTTCATTCATATACTGTTCTGTCATTTTAAAGAAAATATAAAATTACATTAATATAAATTTGCTCTATATAAATTTACACCGAACAGACCAAAGGTTCCTCAGCCTTCGGCATGAGTTTCTCATAAAGAAGACTACATCTTCGAAGAATGGAAACGAATGCGAGATTCTAGAGACATCAAAGATGTCAATATTTTGTGAGTAAACGCATGAGACCGTAGGTATCAAAATTCAGATTCACGTCCCCTCGCGATTTAATTAAAATATAGATAAAATGAGGTCCCCACCTAAATCCACATAATTTATATACTACTACGATTAAAATTATCATATTTTTACAAAAAAATTACTAAAAACAATCAAATATTCTAAATATTTTATTTTGGTTTTAAAAGGTTTTACAGATATGGTAAAAACCCATCAATTTGTCTTAAACCCCTCAATCTTCAAAGAAATTAATTACGACGTCATCTCGAAGAAGTACGATAAAAAATTGGACGATAAGAAGTGTAATATAACAAAAACAAAATATAAAAATAAAAACCATAAAAAATTACATTTGTTTATAACTGTTCAATACATGATCATAACGAGTCGCGTCTCATGTAAAACCACAAGAAGTGACATATAAGAACAAGTTTCAACAACGCGTTTGTGGATTTGGCTTACAATCGTTATCCGAAAATGTCGTTTCTAAATATAAAATATTTTTTTCTGGTTTCGACCAATCAACTGACGACTTGAGGGGTTTTAGAAAACTATAGGGGTTTCGTACCGACCTGTAATAATTTAATATTAATTTTGATAATACAATAATTATTTTGAGTATATGGTTATTTAAAAAACATGAATTGTTACAGTTTGCAAATTGTTGTCAAATAATATATCAGTTTAGTTTACTTTAATATTTAAAATACATAATTATACATAGCAATGATCGTATTTATAAAAATTGAGTATATAAAATATATAATAAATACTTGGTTATATTAACTTAATTAGCGTTTAACTAATCATGTTGGTTTTTCTTTAATATAATAAATAAAAATAATTTAGCACCTATAGTTGGACAAACAAATTATCGCCCAGCATAAAAAATTATTGCCTAAATAATATTATTATTTTACTATTGGTGTATTAAATTTATAAACTATACATTTATAAAAGTCTTTACAGGGAGGATAAAAAACCGCTTCCGTCTTTTTAACCGCTTCCTATCGATATAATAGTTATAACTAATAACGTTATAATAAAAAGTATGATACAAATTACCACCTCGGACAGAAAAAGTCTCCACGAGGCATATTCAGCCTTCATGGTAAACAGTACTATACATTTTATTATATTAATATTATTTGATTATTATTATAATCAATTGGAAGCGGTTAAAAAGACTGAAACGGTTTTTTAGCCCCCCTGTAATAAAAAATACTTGTTTTTTGTTTTTTAATTAAAAATCCATGACTTTCAAGAAAATGACATATACTTCCCAGTAAAAATAAAAATAAATGAACTGAAGTTTATCAATTGTAAAAAAATAATTTATTCAACTGTATATAAACTGTTTAATTAAAAATAACGAAGCATGTTTGTTCTTATTATAATAAATCAAAAATAATAATAAAAATTTAAATTTATTTAAAATAATTTAAATAAAAGTAAGTGCCGAACTAATTATATTACTCAGAAATGCACTTAGTTTTCTGGAATTCTGTAAAAGGTTCATATTGTTAAAGTATTTAATTATTTTTAAATAAATGGGGGGTTTTAAAAATTTTTGTAACTTGTTACAACAACAAATAATTTATTTAAAACAGAATAAACAATTCTCCACACATATTTTTACTTCTTTGTGTTTTGAAATTTATATTTAGAATAATTATATATATATAAACACTAATTTTGTTATTTTATTCATAACAATGTTATTTTTATTGCTTATATATTTTACATGTGCTCAAGTTAATTATGCTATTGGATGGGGCAATCACTGTCCGCGATATTATGTCTTCAAATTGTACAAAACTGGAGTTTGCAAAGAAAATGGAGAAGGATCGATTGTAATGCAACCTCATTCATACATTAGTAATGTCCGTACTGAGTATCAGTACAATTCTAAAGATTGCACTGGAACACCTCGTTCTGTGTTTGATTGGATAAATACTGCAGCAAAAGTCGATCCACAACCAGAGCATTTTATAGCTTTCAGAGGAGACAGTGGAACTCAGTGTAGATTGGACGACACAATTGATGGTGAATTTTTTACTGATGAATGCGCTTCTGATATTAATTGGGTACAATGGAAAATTTATGAAGAAAACGGTAGATATTTTTTGAGGAAAAGCCACAATGTTTATAATTGTGATCCAACTTCAACCACTGTATACAAATACAATTATGAATGCAACAAATGTGATGAAGAAGGCAGACTCACGAAGTGTTATGGTATCGGTGGTGTTAAAGAATATACAGACTTCACAATGAGAGGACCTGAAAATACACTGGATATCGATAACAAACCAAATCAAGATAATTCGAATCAAAACAATGGCGAACAAAATGAAGAAAATGGATCTCATTTTGTCGTTGTTTTACTTGGATTACTTACATTATCTTTGATATTTTAAAACAATTTTTATTTGATATTTTCATTTATAGAATTGTTTTCAATAAATATTTAAATGAATATATTTTAATTACATAAATAGTTTCATTATCAATATAGACATAAACAATCTATTTTTACTTCTATAAAAATAGAAGATAAAATAATTTAATGAATTATGATATGAAGCGACTTACAAAGGTGTGCAAGTTAGTTCGAAAATGTGCAAATATGGGTATAGTTCATTAATGGGTTTTGAATAAAAATTGAATATTTTATTTTTTTAGTTAAATTATTTATTAATTATAAATTCAAAACTATTACTAAACTATACTAAAATTACACTCGATGAACTAGTTTTATTGTTCAAAAAGAATTGTTTTAAATTATGGTGTTAATCCAATTTTCTTATTTAATGCAATTAATTCCATTCGATATCTTATGGATTTAACAACTTCTATTATATTGAATAATATATTTGGAACATCTATATTAAAAAACAAAAAATGTTTTTTTTGTATTTTTTGGTCAACTTTCGAAAACCATTTTTAATAAATTAAAAATTATTTATTTATAAATTGATATGATACAGACAAAACCCTCAAAATTAAATAAACAACGGAAATATATCTAATTTAATAAAACAAATGAGTTCCAGTGACAATAACAACGGTCTCACGGTGCGAATTTATAACTTGGAAAGCACAACAACAATTGCCAGGATTCAAACATTGTGTTCGAAATACAACCCTCTTTCGTATGACATTCCTCGATACAAAAAAGACACTCCAATTAGTTCATGTATTATCAAAACCAATTCTTCGAGTGATTCAGAGCAAATGATAGAAGCAATAAACAACGTGTTGTGGGAAGACGTCAACGTGAAAATGCAACTTGACAAAACTGACGAATCTGACAAAACCCTAATTTTTGAATATCGTCCTCTTGAGAAAAATGAAGATGACGTGAAAGAATTTTTGAGTGATTTTAAGATCAAAAAAATAACACAAATAGTAAGGACAGAAGGTGAGTTAAAAGGCGACTATATCACTGTAGTAGTCAAAGACTTCAAAACGCTGAACGAAATGTCAAAGGATTTGGATGGGAAAGTGTTTAGAACAACGAAGATCAAACTTGTGTGTATCGACGATTGTGGGACGACACTCAGAAAGTGTTTTATATGTGGGATGTACGGGCACAAATCACAAGACTGTCTTGAGAAGAAAGGTACTTATAAACAAGACAAGAAAGTAGAAAAAGAACAAAAAAACACAAGTGAAGACGATGAAAAAGTTTTAAAAACGTCGCCCTCCAAACAGAAAGAAATAAAGAAAAGATCCGAGGAAGAAAAAGAACATCAAAAGGTCTCTAAACAACAAGTTGAAAAGAAAAAGAAAAAGAAGAAGACGACAAAAGAAGAAGAAAAGGACGACACAAAACACAATAAAAAGAGTAAACTTGTTCAAGAAAAAATAGAAGAAGAAAGCGATGATGCACCACTTGAAGTTAGTAGTAAAAAAGATGCTCAGAAAATGGAAGAAGAAAACTTCTTCGCAAAATCTAACAAACGAAAAACTAAATACGAAGAAAGCGACGAAAGTCCACTTGAGATCTCTTCTAAAAAGAAAATTGAAAGTGACGAATCAAGTAGTTCTGAGATCGAAGTGGTTTCTTTCAAACTAAAAGATCCCGTCCATCATGACACTCCACACAAAGTCGACACATTAAAACATGTGAAACAAAAAGTATCAAAACACACTAAACTCAATAAAAAAAGCGATTTAAAAGATGAAGAAAGCGATGATGCACCACTTGAAATTAGTAGTAAAAAAGATACACAGAAAATGGAAGAAGAAAACCCCTTCGCAAAATCTAACAAACGAAAAACTAAATTTGAAGAAAGCGACGAACTTTCAGAAGACGAAGAAGACCAAAAACCCATTCAAAAAGAAAAAGAAATGAAAAAGGAGAAACCAATTGCAATGAAAAAAGAAAAAGGAAGTGCTCAGGCTGCTTCATCCAAAAGTGAAAGCAAAACAAAAAAAATAACAAAACCACTTAAAGAAACGGAAAAACACAATCAAAAAAAACTAAATTCACAAGAAGTGCACGAACGTCCAAAGAAGACGACAAAACCTCAAAAAATGGAAGAGGAAACACCACCACCAAAATTCACACAAGAAAAGAAGAAAGACGAAAAAAATCAAAAGGAAATTCAAGTCGATAAAACTCAGGAAAAAACAGGTTTAAAGCAACACAAAAAAGACGAAAAAAATCCATCACATCAATTCCAAAAGAAAAAAGAGAAAATTGAGAAGACGAAAGAAAGTGATTCAGAGAGCGATTCTGAAAGTGATGACATTGCGTTCGAAGTCCCATCAAAACAACCAAAACACACAGAAAAGTCGAACAGTGGTATTGTTAAACCAACAATCGAAATTATCGACGTGAAGAAACCAATAGAACAGAACAAGACTTCTGTCACATCGAAGCCTCAAACGGATTCTATTTCGGCTTCAGTTCATAAAAAGGTTGTGAGTGGTGGCAACGACTTTCAACGACCCACCAAAAACACAAATAAGAGTAGTCGTGTGTCTTTGAAGGAACAGAAGACTTCGAACACAAAGTCTTCACAAAAGACTGAAAAAGTTTTAGAAAAAGTTTCAGAAAAAAAAAATGAAAAAGTCTTTGAAAAAAGTGATGAGAAAAGTTTTGAGAAAAGTTATGAAGAGCGACTGCAGGAAATGGTTGAGAAGAAGGAGATTGCAAAGAAGAGGGTTTTAGAAGAGAAAAAGGAAATGACGAAAAAAGTGAGTTTGAGGGATTTAAAAATACCTGTTGAGTTTGATGAAGAAGAAAATATCGAAGAAACTGTGCCGCAAATCAACGAGAAGGAAAAAGAAGAAAT